CAGGTGAGAGCCTGTCAGACAGCTGAGGGGGCTGAATCCAGGTGAGAGCCTGTCAGACAGCTGAGGGGGCTGAATCCCAGACGCTCGGCTGCCGTCGGCCCGTTGAAGCGCTCTCTGCTGCTCTCCCTTCAGGGAAGCCGAGTGTTTGACTGGAAGCAGCTCGTCTGAACTGGGTCACTGACGGCTCCTCCTCCCAAACACAAAGGCCTGACTTCAGGAAGCAGGAATGTCTCCTCCCCCTGCAGGTACGCCGGCTGTTCCCGTCACCTCCCTCCTCTGCAGCCCTAAAAGGAGAAGTGTGTTTTCCAGGAAGCCTTCAGACTTCGGCCTCCGAGCTGCTGCGGTCCTGCTGCAGGGTTAAACCAAACTTCATCTGCAGGTATATCCACAGACGCTGGTTCCCTCTGACAGCTTCCAGCTCTTCTCTCTTTATGTCACAAGAGCCTGAAGAAGCCACAGCTGAAGACAGACGGAGGCAGCTGCATGTTAACCTGGTTCACTCTCAGCTTCTCCTGCCTTTAACTTTAACATCACGTCCTGCAGCTCAGTGGAACCAGAACCACATGACGGAGGAGGAGAGAGACGTCAGAGACGTCTTCTGTCAGCAGGACTCAGAACCTTCATGTTTCCTCAGATGTTGTACACTAAACATGTGAACATGTGGCCTCGTCATCCTGCAGATAGTCAATATTCACATGTTTACTGACTTTTTGTCTCCTCCTCGTTTTGTGGTGAGTTCAAGGACTGTTGGGGAGTTTGATTCTTTCAGATAACTTCAGTCTTTTAGGATCTCAGATAAACTCATTTACTGTGGAGACGTTGTTGAGGGTGAAACTGAATTTCTACAAACAGGAGTCATGACACAGAAACGCTGCTTCGTCTTAAATGTCATCAGTTATTTTAAAAACGGAGAAAAAGTCTTAATTTGTTTCACAAAGACGTAAAAAACCTGAAACCAGCACGTTTCCAACATTTACCAAGAAATGACCGAGAACTGACAGAACAAATGGTTATGAAGGAAATAGATCTGGTTCTGTACTGAGCAGGAACCAGAACCACACTGGACCTGACTGTCAGAACCAGAACTCACTGACTGTCAGAACCAGACCCCAGAACCAGAACTCATTGACTGTCAGAACCAGAACTCATTGACTGTCAGAACCAGACCCCAGAACCAGAACTCAGCGGAGCTCCGGAGCTGTCAGCACCAGACGGAACATTCAGTGACCTTTAGAGGTGAAACCAGAGCTGATCTGAAAATAGTCTGAGCTCCAGACGGATGAAGATCAACCAGCCAGAGAGTCTCAACTGTTACACAGACACACAACTCTGAGGCTGGAGAAGACCAACAACACATTTCACCAT